AGAGAGAGAGAGAGAGAGAAGCCTGACCTAGACAATCCCTCACTGAGACTCTCTTCCTGGGTGATTCTGGGTTGTGTCGAGCAGACAAAATGAAAACACCACAGTTTCTGAATACTGATCTATCTATTCTTCTAATTCCAGTCTGACTGTGAGTTGCCTGTATTTACTTAATCTGGCACCAGCAATTTAGCAGAAACATAGTAGAAAGGCCAAGCAAGGGGAGCAGAACATTTTTGTTGGCAACTGGTGGGAATCCAGTGCTTGTTCATCCTAATACTTCTGCCTGTTGTGTTGTGTAATAATTTCATTTCCGAGAAAGTGGAGGCAACTTAGATCTATCTGTTAACATGACTCTGTCTGGAAGACTCTGCTATTCCCTTGGTTATACTACCAAGTGATGTTCATGTCATGATCCCTTCGGTGGCAGACACAATACTTCTGGAGGCATTTAAGCTAATGGCAACATGAAACCCATGTGGTAGCATCCTAAAGAGCAGTGTGGTACAGTGGTACAGTGCCACCCAGCCAACTTTAATTGGGGTGGGATGCCAACAGACAGAGAGGAGGGGTGCCTATTTTTAACTAGCTGTAGGCTTTGCCTCTGGAGCATGCATGCCCAGTTCTGGTGGTGAAGAATTTTCCACAAAACTCATGGGGTAGGAGAAAACCAGTTATTTATATTCATGAATTGAGCTTGAGAGAGAGAAAAAAAAAAGGGAATGGTTTGAAAGAGAGGACACCCAGAGAGTGTTTGCCCACATCAAGAAGGCTATGGGTGGCATTGGAAAAGCACACCCTTTTTTTGCACATTTATTTAAATTCATTCTCTAGTCATTGAACGATCTTGTACACATTCTTTTTATGAACAAATAAAAAGCATTGTAGAGTTATTGAAGGAATGCTTTGAGATAATGTACAAAGGCTAGCAGATCGTCTAATAACCAAAGGAGGCCCATAGCCCCGCTGCTCATCAGGAGTCATACCATATGGGATCAGATTCGTCCTGAGTCCCATGCTTTTTTATATATTTGAATTTTTATATATATTTGAATTTTTATATATATTGAATCCCTTATACTACATATATTGACTCTATTATGATTTGTTTTATTTTCAATTTGTGTGTGTATGTGTAGGTGTGTGCGCACACGTGTATGGGCATGGATGGGGGAGGCCCAAAAGACAACTTTGTGGATTCTGCTGTCTCCTTCTACCATCACATGTCTTCTGGGGAATTACATTTAGGTCATCAGACTTGCACAAGTGCCTGTGATCACTGACTCACCTTGCTGGGCCTCTCGTCTTCGTCTTAACGGCTCGTTTACTTTGTTGGTGATTCCTTTCCTTGAGTTCTGCATGATTGCATGAAAACATCAAATTAGGTTTTTCCAGCATCTGTCTACTCCAGTTTTGATCCTAGGAAGGCAAATGCTTTCAAGTGTCATAGGAAACCTTTTGATTTCAATATTTAACATTCTTGAGAACAAGAAATGATCTGATTTTAAGACCAAAATGACTTGCAAATGTCTTTAAAATATTCAACAAGATCTCTGGATGGCACACTGATCTCTCAAGTCTTATCCCACCCTATTCAGATTCTGACACAAGGCAAGAATCCGGGGATCACATGGAAGTATGCACTTCCCAAGGTCATGAACGTAACTCAGCCAACCACAAAGAGGTACCAGTACACCTGGCACACAGTGCAGTCTGACTGCTCAGTCTCCTGTGGGGGAGGTAAGCGATTTCTTACCTCTGCCTCCCAGCTCATCTCTGCTTACAGGTTTTATCCAGTCTATATAGGGACACTGTGAACTCTGGGGAACCCCAATGCAGTTAGATCTGTGTCTCCGGAAAACAAACTTGTTAGCTGAGGAGAGCAGCTGACTGCCAATCATTAAAGCGAGGCTGACATTTGAATCATGTCTCAGATGCTGTTTGAAGGAAAGACATATAAATGAAAAACAAAGAACAATTCCAAGACAGGGTGGCATTTTCTGTCTGAGGAGCTAAATATGAGTATTTACAGAACATTTTGTGCCTCTGATGGGAAGTGTTGAATACTTGGAACCAGGCTGTACAGTTCTGCTAAAACAAATGTTTACATAAACCAGGGTCCTAGCCGGTAGGTGTGAATGAATATTCAGAGTTTAACTTGTTGCCTATACAGGCATCACTTGGGTATAGAAACAGAAGATGTTTCATGGTAAAGTAGAATATTAGGGTTTTCACATATAATTCACTAGTGGCTTAATTATTTTTATGTATAAGTGTTTGCCTATCTGTTTGCATGTATGCAGTACCCATAGAGGGCAGAAAGGGACATCAGAACTCCCCGGAACTGGCATTGCAGATGGCTGTGAGCTGCTGAATGGATGCCTGAAATCTAACCCTGATCCTCTAGACTAGAGGCAAGAGCAGCGAGTGCTCTTAACTGCTGAGCATCTCTTCAGTCCCCTCCCTAGTGGTTTACAGATAGAAATGTTTTCCATTAGATCTGTACAATTTATGTTAAAGCTTCCCGGGGTGTTTCATTTCATGGTTACTCTGTTTTGAATAGTATTTATCACTTGATGGATCTAGAATCCACTTGAAAATGAAAAACATATATTAAAATTACTAAAGTATAAAAGTCCATTATCTTGGGGATAAATGATTTGAATTTAAGTGGGTTGTAACTGTGTCCCAAGGAACTATTTCACAAAAATATTTGGATGCAGTGTCTTAAATAGGATACCAGAACACTGATCAATCCCAAACTAAGTGTTAAGTGGGTTATCTGCATTTCTCACTGTGTAACCTCTGGCCTCTCACTAGGTTACATAAGCATCAAGGCCATTTGCTTACGAGATCCAAACACTCAAGTCAACTCCTCATTCTGCAATGTCAGAACCAAGCCAGCAACAGAACCCAAGACCTGCAATGCTTTCTCCTGCCCAGCCTAGTAAGTCATCTGCAAATGTCTCCTTGTTTGTATGTGTTCCCTACATCGTTGTCACTGCTGGGCAACAGTGAAAAGCCCCTGTTTATACATCTGATGGGAAGGGATTAAAAAGTAAACACAATGTTTAATATAAAAATAGGGAAAAGAAAATGATTGAAATTGAATCGGAGGACCTAAAAATATGTATTTGCCTTAGACACTCACATTTTGCTATGGAAGTTTGAGATATAACAATGTCTTTTCTTTTTTCCTAGCAGTGGTAAGACTTGACTCTAGGGCCTCATGCTTGCTAAGCAAGTGCTCTATCACCCAGCAAGCGCCACAGCCTCGCTTTTTAACTTTTGAAGAAACCACCCTCTTTTCAGAATGGAATCAAGCAGATATTTAAGTGACACACAATCTTATATTAGTTAAATTTCAGTGTGGCTGTATGCTTAACTTTTACATCGGTCATCCAAGAATGTAAGGATGAGAATAGTGCAGACCGTGGAACCTCAGATGCAAATTGCACAGTAGTAAGATACAAACTAGAGACGTGAAAGCCAAGTGGTGACACCCCCGCTGATGACTGTCGCTCTGGGCACTCAGTGGGTTTGTTCTCAGACTCATTTTAGCCAAGCCACTGTTGGAAGATGAGTCTAAGCAAGTTTCCTGGCCAACTGGAGTCGGCTCTTGGTGATTTATCTTAGGCCAAATGTATTTATATAAAGCAGTAGTGAAGTCACTAGGGTTCAGGTCATTTTAATAAGTGGTACTGACTTTGTGGTAACACAGTTGTGTGTGTGTGTGTGTGTGTGTGTGTTTGTGTGTGTGTGTGTGTGCTCGCATGTGGGTGCATGAATGAACAAATAGATATTTAAGCGCATAAACTAATATTTCATTTTCTCATAATTGTTTGGGGTTTCAGATACCCACTAGTACTGTCTGTCCAGTTTCTCTCTGAGATTCTGAAGCTAACTGAACTATGAGTACAAAGGGAAGAAAGAAATAGGGCATGGGGGGAGTTCTGTGGATTTTCCTCTTTTTCCATGAAATAAACAGTTCTAAGAATTACCTCAGTGGCCTTAGCATGCAATGAACAGAAAGTGTTCTTGACTCTCATAGGCTCATCTCATCTTTAGGTAATGGCTCTGTGTAGTAATCTTCAGGTAGTAGTATGTGTACTAATGTGTACACACAGAATCACAACACTTGATTGGCAAGGTGACAGTTCCTGATTTCAGGACTTTCTCCTATCACTGGTTAAACCACCCAGCAAAAGACAGGGACTCTTTCATTTGTACACCTGTGTAAGAGCATGCTGAGGTCATCCACAACTTCTAGACTCCCCTGAGGACTGTGTGCAGGGCTGACTGATGTTTTATGAAGAATAAGTTTATCTGGGATCAGAACGGCCCCTTGCAGGGTCTGCAGAGTGAAGCTGGTGTCCTGGGTGGGCTCTTCTGCTTCATCCCTTTGCTCTCCACCCTCACTCAGTGTCTGCATATTCAATTCAGAGAACGGACATTCTCGAGGACTGTTCTTCCCCAAGGATAAACTAGAAAGAAGGATCTCAACTGAGAACCATAAGGACAAAGGAATTACCAGATCTAACTCTTTACTTCCACTTGTATTGACCCTGTCCTGAGGACTCACTGTAGGTCAGGCTCTGAGCTGAGAAGTGCAATGTGGAGGTGACAGCAGGTGGTCCCATCATTCCTTTCATGGGGGAATGGAAATAGTGGATAAGCACAGAAGGACTGAAATGCAAAGCCTGGTGCTATGAAATGTCAGGTGTTAAAAATCAGTAAGGGACCAGATGGACCACCTGGAGTCGGTACTTCTTCAGGAGAAGTGGATGACAGGAAAGCCAGGTGGAAATGTAGCCTGGGAATCAAATGTGGAAGGCCAGGAGTGCCACCCCCAAATGTCCGTGCGATGCTCTTTCTAGTACATGTACCAACTTGTCATATTTGTCACATAAGGAGAGAAATTTGAATTTGATAGAAAAACACAATCTGGGGAGTGGAGGCAAATGATGAAACTAGTAGTTTCAAAGTATGTTTTCTAAGATCTTGTAAGGTATAAAAAATGTATGAATATGAGGAATTATTTGATTGATTGTCTTTGACTGAAAGTAAGATGGTCTGAATTCTGTGGTATTTTTAAGAACACATATAATCTAACACTCTTGTGTTAATTCTCTAGACTGAAGGGCTTTAATTTCACACACAGCGCTTATGGCAGAGACCGCAGAAAGGGGAAAAATAAGATTAAGCAAGGTGATGAAATTCTTGAGGTCTAACCAAAACAGTTGGCTACTGATTTGGTCTTATTTTCTAAAATAATCAATACTTAGTGTATTTATATTCAAGGTAATTGTAGACATCATTGCTATGAGTCAAATGTGTAGCAGCTATATCTGGAGGCCTTTATTTTAATGTTATATCTGTAAGTTATACAATTTCAGTCAGTCAGAAATAATTCTTGCAAAGGAATCTTGCATAGTTCTGGAAAACTGTGTCTGGTGATCTTTAGATAAATAGCATGAGGTTAGATCTCTGACCTATCAGTAAATTGTAAGACCAACTAGAGAAGGAGTGTGGGGAACTGCCACTTAGAAAGTCTCCTCTGCAGATCTCCTCTGAGCACTGTCCCTCTCCTATGGAGACACCTGCCTTCCCATGCTATTCACTCTTCCACTAGCCTTGTGGTTATGTCACAGTACTTATCAGAAAACCTTGTCTTGATTCACATACTCACAGTTTGACTGTCATAGGCTTCCTTATGGCAAGAATGTGGTCTCATTTCATCTTTCCAACTCCAGTGCCTGGGTCCCCGACACATAGTTAACAGCTCAGTAAATTTGCTTGGATGAGTTACTCAGAAAGTAAAATACATTTCTTTCCATGTAGAAGGCTAGAATGTATTTTTACCAGAACCTGTGGTGATTAAATGTGTTTCCTTACAGCTGCCCCCCACCAATGGATGTGAGCGTGATTCAACATCCATAAAAGAAGAGTTAGTGGGGGTTGCCTTGGTTGGTTATAAAATGGTTCAGAGGGCTTTCCTAGGTAGTCTTTCTCAGTAGCTGCTTGAGAAGTAGTACTACAAAGCTTTGATTCCACAGAAAGTAATTTTGGGTCTCCCTGAAAGTTGGTTGCCAGGTGAATGGAGTGTATGTAGCAAGTCCTGTGCCGGGGGCCAGCAAAGCCGGAAGATACGGTGCGTGCAGAAGAAGCCCTTCCAGAAGGAGGAAGCTGTGTTGCATTCTCTCTGCCCAGTGAGCACACCCACTCAGGTTCAAGTATGCAACAGCCATGCCTGCCCTCCAGAGTGGAGCCCTGGGCCCTGGTCTCAGGTAACTAGCACCGCTTTGGAAGCACTAGTCTTGGGCTGCATGAAAAACCAAGGTGGTGGAAATACAGGTGACTTGGCCATGTTCATCTTCATAGTGAATTAATGAGGCGGTGCCTGGGAATCATCATTTCAGCTAGTACCTTTTTAATGGTTCATATGTGACCCTAAGTTTTGGACCTCCTATACCAGAGCTTGGACTCTTCCTTAGTGGCCCAGAAATAAGCATGGAGACCATTGAGGAGAGTCTATAAATGCAGCTAGAAAGGGATTGGAACATGGCCCTGACTGTGGAGAGATAGATTTATGAGTAAAGGCACTTGTCACCAGGCCCAACCACCTGAGATCAAGCCCTGGGACCCACACAATTCCAGAAAGTCATCTGCTGACCGCTACACCCAGAGAATAAATAAATAAATAAATGGGATGAAAGGAACAAGATAAAGGTGAAAACTTTAGCGGCAAAGCTATAGAGCTCAAAGAATACAAAAGAACCGGGCACCAAGTTTGCAGTTGTCACAAGGCATGGCATCGTGGGGTCAGAAGAAGCATGGAGTAGGAATTTGCATGCTGTGCACAACTCATACATGTCCTGTAACTCATATGTTCTCTTCTGGGAGTATGTTCATCTCAGAGGCATCTTGGAAGTGAAGGAGCCATATTGGCATCTAGAGCACAGAGACAAATGGCCTCCAGGGCACAAACAGTTCCCCAAAACACAAGTTAAGTGCCAGGGTTTTCCTGCCTTCAGAGTCTTATCTTAGCCTGTGTGGGTGGATAGTATAAGGCATATGGCCTGTACCATGATGCTAGTTAGTGGCAAATGGCCCCTGTCGGTCATGTGTTCCCTTAGAGTCTATTCTCTCCCAAAGGAAGTCTATATCTTACTAAGTTTAACAACGCACTACCAAATGCCCAGAAAAGGTGAGGGAATGTTTTTTTTATTCAAATTGAGACTACATTTGTTAGGAAATAAGGGTCCAGGAGTAGATAGGGATACTTTGAACATGGCCATGGATATTTGCAAAAAATTAATATATTTCTGTATAGCAGGGGTAAGTCTAAGTCAGATCTGATGTGGCCAAACTTTCTTTGCAATTGAGAATTGCAAATTGAGAATGCAACGGGCTGATGAAGCCATATGTATGTGATAGGCATGAACCAAAGTAAATGGGGACTACAGAGTATCCAACACATCTTAAAGTACTCCAAATTTCACATGGAAATATTTTGAATGTTTTTCTCCTTTTAAAGCTCAATTGTAAAAACCAGGTCTGTCTTGAGTAGTTTCTTGATGAACATAAAAGAAAATTTGTTTCCACAAGCTACTCAGCTCTTAGACATGGGTTACAGCAACAAATCAATTCATTCTGCTGTGATCAATGTACACAGTTTTCTCTTATGAAAAATAATTGCAAACAAAATTAAGATTTTTATTAACTGTTCAGGAATTATACATGAAAGAGCAGTGATAGGGTCCACGTTTTTTTCCCAAGGTTAGGCATCAGACTCATGTGCCAGCTCATGTTTGTTTCTTAGCAGCTAAGTACCTTGACCTTAGTTTTTAGATGTTTCTTTTGAATAGGATGATAGCAGTGAACTCAGAAGGCTGATGGGCACTTGTGTGATGCAGACTCCAATTTATAACCTAGTCTAACACATTGAACACATTACACAGTTCCTGCTGTCCACAGTGTGCTGGTCATGATGTTGTCTCCTTTAAGATTGTGGACACTGATGAGTGAGAATTGACAGCGGTCCTGTAAACCCATGTAGGACTATGCCCCAGTCTATTGTTTAGGTACTAGTGGCCACATCATTTGATCCTTCTGAGAAGAAAAGAAGACCACAGGTATCAACATGGGGATATAGCCCTCCAAGACAATCCCTGTGTGGAGCCAGAGTTCTCTAAGAAATTTTGACAAGTTTTTAGCTGTTCCTGGGATGATTCTTTGACATCTTATCTAGTTCATGGAATTCTCAGGAAAGCAAAAAAAAAAAAAAAAGTTCTTAGAAAAAAGAAACTTGCCCAGGGTAAAGATTTGGATTGTGCAAATTTACTCAGACATGTTTGATAAGTGCTGTGTTAGCACTATGCCCAAAGAACATTCTTAGGAGGTGAGGATCTCACTCTTTTGGTACTGTTTGTACATATCTGTATTGAGTATGTACATATTCCTGCTTTGCTCCCTATGGTGCCCCAGTAATATACCTTAGGCCAAGGTTATGGCAGAGAGAGGAAGTCAAGTTTGGATACAACATATCCTGTGTCTGGAAAACCCTTTGCTTCATGATGAGCATAGTTCATCTTCAGCCTGGGGGATGAAGCAGCAGCCACTGGGTATTCAGATGTTTGAAGTGGAAGCTAAAATATCCCACTTCAGCTTCTGAGGAGTGGGGAGTTTGAGCCAAGTAATGAAAATGATTGAGACAGAACCACTTTTGCATGGATAACTGCATGTCTTTGATTTTACCTGTCTCTTCCTTGGTTAGATCTGCTCTAACACTGTGATACACTAGAGGGAGAGAGGTGTCTGAAAGAGAACAGACTGTTTTAAACTACTGTATAATGTATGGGGTATTGATGAAATGTACATGTCAGTGTATCAATTATAAATATATTCTCCGTGTGTGCATCAGTTTACCCAAATGAAATCCATCTGAGGTGGATACAAATGGTGCCTTTTCTTCTTCTCAAGTGTTCCAAGACATGTGGACGAGGAGTTAGGAGACGTGAGGTCCTTTGTAAAAACTCTGCATCAGAGACGCTCTCAGAGAGCCTGTGTTCTGGCAGCCCCAGACCTGAGACACAGGAGGGCTGTGTGCTGGGACGATGCCCCAAAAACAATCGGCTCCAGTGGATCACCTCTTCATGGAGTGAGGTATGAGTTTAGGGACACAACTGGGGGGTTATTTTCATAAATGCTCCTTCACTCACTGGCACCTACATGGTTCCTTTCTGTACATACATGTGCCAGGTACCTACTTACTGCTGTTTCTTTCTATTGTTTCCATGTTTAGAAAATGGAGAGAGATAAGCATTGGTGCTCCATTTGCTTTCTATTTTGATTCAGTCCAGGACCCCAACCCGTGGGCTAGTAGCACCCACATTTAGAGTGGATTTCACATTTCAGGGGTGTGGTTCCTAGGTTATTTAAATCTGGTAAACCTGACAATGAACATCAACTAACCATAACGAGCTTGATGGCCACGTGTCTGTTCCTTCAATGCACTTCTCTTCTAGGTGAAAAGCACTGGCCCATGTCATGAATGAAATCCAACAATATGCCTCTGTCTCCTCTCAATCCTTTTATAAAAGCATTATCACAAAAATAACCAAGTGAAAAACGTGCCCTCCTTGCAATCAGCCATCAATATGTACTGTGAGGGAAATGTTGGGCTAGCATCCCTTTATTCATCTTTACAGTGGAGCTAACACATCACCTTCATAGTTTACAATATTTATACTGATGCACTGACATGTTCTCTTCATCAAGACCCCATACATTACACAGTAGTTTAAAACAGTCTGTTCTCTTTCAGACTCCTCTTTTTCCCTCTAGTGTAACACAGTGTTAGAGCAGATCTAACCAAGAAAGAGACAGGTAAAAATCAAAGACAGGCAGTTATTCATGCAAAAATGGTTCTATCTCAATCATTTTGATTTCTTGGTTCAAATTCCTCACTCTTCTGAGAGATCTCAAGTAGTCCTGGTCACTCCAATACTGCCCTAGCTCTGGTCCTTCAGACAGAAGGATGGAGGATGATGAGAAATCAAGAGTATTTTCAACTATTATTATATAATGCATGGGGCATTGACAAAGTGAGTAATTCAGCGGCCTGTGTCCCACACATCTGTATGGCACCTCATCCCTGATGAACAGGGATTTCTCTTTGTAACTTGGAGAAGAGAAGTTCCCTTCAATGCTCTGGCCTTTGATTTCCTCATCTGTAACAGGAGGGACCTGGCTGCTGTATTGTGTAGTTGACATTGAGTGAACACACAGCTCAGCAGATCTGACTGTGGAACCCTGCACTCTTACACCTCTTTTCTGGGCTCCTAGTGTTCTGCAACCTGTGGTTTGGGTGTGAGGAAGAGAGAGCTGAAGTGCAGTGAGAAGACCTTGCAGGGGAAACTGATAACATTCCCAGAGCGGAGATGCCGCAACCTTAAGAAGCCAAACCTGGAACTGGAAGAAACCTGCAACAGAAGGGCTTGCCCCGTGTACAGCGTGGTGGCAGGGTGGTATTCCTCACCATGGCAACAGGTGGGTGCGTGCAGATTTAGGAAGCAGATGTTCAAGTGAGACGTAGCACAGGAACACTGTTCTCAGTCCATCAACAGTTGCCCCACTGTATACAGTTGGGATGGTTGGCATCGGTCAACCCATTCTACCCCTCTATATGAGCCTGGGCAGGTTCCAAGTGCAATCTGGCACACAGTTTTTAGACCTAGAACATTGGAATAAGTCAAGTATTGAACAGAAAGCCTGTGACATTGTGCTCATGTTGGTTGTTGCCACTCTTGAAACCATCATTTTGGGGATGCTGCTCTCCATCCCTGACCCCTGGTTGTCAGAGCATGTTTCTGAAGGACACAAAACTAAATTTTGCCAACCCCTGCTTGTGTTTTCTGTTAATGCTCTTCATGGATTTTCTCATTTCGCGGCAACTTCAGAGTCAGACAAGTTGATGGCAGTCATACATCTATATTTGAGTGCTTGGATAATTCCAAAATGCATCTTCTGTCTACCAAAACTTACCTTTTCCTCCCAATACAAGGACATACAGTGATCTTTGTACAAAATGGTGTTCTCATCTGTCTGCTGTCCATTCTAAAGCAAAACAGCAATGATCTAGTTAAAGGTTGCCTTTTCCCCTGACATTTCCATTCTTTTGTTAAAGATCCATCAGCCTTTCATGTAGCCCTTGGGGACAAAAAGAAACTTGCAGCCTAGATTCTACTTAATTGGACAGTGAAATCCCCTTGTTGTTAGGTACTATGCTACCTCAGAATCTTGTTAGGCACCATCCCAAAGTATCTCCGGTTAGTTCATCCTTTATAGCCCTTGCTTCAAGCTACCCCCATCCATTCTGGCATCTGGCTGAGATTGCCTAGATTTCTTGTCCTCCATCCCTGACCATGTCTGGATGTGTTTCTGTGGTTTTGAGGCTACTTCTGGAGCCTACCTCTTTAAGGTCCCCTTCACTGGAGACACACTTTCAGGTATAATAGCATTTGCCCAGGGCGTTTCTGATAGACCACACAGCTCACACAGGGCTGAATAGACTTGGACTGTATGCCTAGACCTAGCTGCAGACTGCGACATCCACAGGCATCTTGGTCATGAATATCACGCTTCCTTCTGTTTGCTGCTGCTGACCTCAGAGAGGGCACCGTCCGGCTGAGCAGGTGTAACTCCTTTCTGTCTCCCTCCTTGCAGTGCACGGTAACCTGTGGGGGAGGGGTCCAGACCCGATCTGTCCACTGTGTGCAGCAAGGCCGGCCTTCTTCAAGTTGTTTGCTCCATCAGAAGCCTCCGGTGCTCAGAGCCTGCAATACAAACTTCTGTCCAGCTCCTGAAAAGAGAGGTAAAGGATTCCATGCCCCACCAATTTCACCAGTTTTAGGAGAGCTTTTCCACAGCTCATTATAGTCAGTTGTGCCACTTGGATGTTACATGACTCTATGGTATCCTGGTCCCATCAGCATCCATGGGGCTGTATTCTTAGACTTGTACAAGGCCAAATCTGAGGCTGTTCCTGTCAATACCAGACCCCCAGAATGGAAGCAACTTTTGAAAAGGGCCTCCGGGAAGAAAGGAAGGTGGATCTCGTATGTGCTCAGCAGAAGAAAGGGCAAATGCGAAGGAACAGCAAGATACTTGGATTAGGAGCACAGTTGACTGCATAGGCACAAACCAAATGTGGTACAGGGGCCTCATTAGTCATCACAGAGACATCAGATTTAACCGGATAAGGTGGAGAAATATGGGGTCCATGAGATCATGACAGTGGGTCACCTGGAGCAGAATGAGAACAGGATCTCCTCGTGGAGAGGTGGATGCTGCATCCAAGGAGAGATGGAAGAGTCTCTTTTACAGGGAGGTAGTAAGGGGAGGGAAGCTGGGCAGGTTTGGAAGACTGGGCCAACGGTGCTTGCTGCTTGTCTGCAAGCAGAAAGTGAGGCAAAGAGAGCGGGGTCTACAATCAGCCTCCACAGTGTAAGCCAGATGCCTGGTTCATATCTCAGATAACCAGCCATCTATAACTGTTCTTACCAGCAAAGAGGGTACCACACACTCACAGCATGCTGACCCTCCTCAGCTCTGCCTCCTGGCTTACATGAAGCCCAGGACTCCTATTATAGGCTTTTGGTAAAATGCTATTGTATTCATAGGAGAGATGGCTCAGTGCTTAAAATCACTGGCTGTTCGTCAACAGGATCAGATTCAATGCCCAGCACCCACATGGCAGCTCATAACCATCTGTTACTCCAGTTCCAGGGAATCTGATGCCTTCTTCTGGCCTCTATGGGCATTGCATGCATGTGGTGCATAGACATACATGTAGATAGAGCACCCACACACATAATATATTTTTTTTAATTTTTTTTAGAGAAGTGAGAGTTGATACAATAGTGAGGTTAGTCAGGGAATGGTAGGATATGCCTATAATCACAACACTTAGGAGGCAGAGGCAGAAGCATAACCACAAGTTCAAGGCTACCCTGGGTATATAGCAGGACCTTCTCTCAAAGGACCACAAAAATAAGTGACCTCAAAGTTAGGACCCTAGTTCCAGTAGTCTATATTACCTTGCAAATCTTCCATTGTACCAACAGAATAATCTAGAATGTCTAGAAATATAAATAGCATGACTAAGGTACATGCTAACTGATTGGGAGCATCAGATACTAGATATGTGTATAATGTATGTGCATAGGTGTATTACATACATATAAATTAGGCAAATGGAATGTAGCTAGATCTTCATCTTAATGTCTGACTTGAATCTTGAACCCAGCATATCTCAAGCCAGCTTTCTGGTGCCTGATCTCTGATCTATAGGAGTGCCCATTTCAGGAGACTAAACTCCATCCTTCTGTATACTTGATGTAAAAATACTGTTGTTACTATTATTTCTCTGACATCATTTACCAAGTCTCTGCTGAGGATAACATTTACAAGTTATCTGCACTGCCGTCAGAGAGAGAGAGAGAGAGAGAGAGAGAGAGAGAGAGAGAGAGAGAGAGAGAGAGTCTGGAAATCACTGGAAGGAAAAGAATATCCCACTCATTTTTAAACCTAAGTTCCTGTGCTATATGGCTTGATTTTATTTTAGCCACTGTGGTTATTTTTTTCCAAAAACATTTTCTTTAGCTAGCACTTGTCTTTCTGTTGTGCTGGTGGACAGGACTTAACAGATGCAAAACTAAATTTTTGCAACCAGGAGCTCATTGTTGAGTGTGCGTTTCGATACATGTAAAGAGGAGCATGATATTCAAACCAGTGTGGAGTGATAATAGTGTTCTAAGAATAAAAATAGTTGATAAGTTTTAAAAAATATTTATCTAGCAACTACTTTGTGTCTGGCACTATTTTAAGTATTGGGAAGAAACCAATGAAGAACAGAGACCAAGAACCTGCTCTCAAAGATCTTGCACTGTAGAGGACAGAGACTAAGCAACCACATGGTATAATGAAGATGGATAAAGCAAGGAAGATAGTGAGGACCCTCCCTGGAAGGCCAAGGAGTAGGCTGGTTTGTTGAGTGGCAGAGGAGAGAAGAAACTAACCTGGAATTTTAGGGAAAGTCTACTGGGTGGTGAATTGGGAAAATGGTAGACAGAGATCACCAGTGCTTCTGGGATCAGCAAGGGGGCTCGTGTGGCTGGGTTGGGGAAGAAAGGAGAAGATGAGGCCAGGAAGTCAGACTTCACATCCTAAAGCTTCAGCCTCCACAGGAATCACCATACCTTGAAGTGTGGAGGGATGAGAAGGAAGGCCCTGAGTAAGAGGCATGACAGGAACTTATTTGTGTCAGAAAAGGATTCCTGGGAATGACTGAGATATAAAAGGGCATAAAAAGGGGAATTCTGGATATAAGAACCCAGGACCAAAGAAGCTACAGGCAGGTGAGTCACAGAAAGTCCAAGCCAGGGCCCATACAAGAAGAGTCAAGAGAACTGTGGGTTTTTATTGTGCATGAAAAGGCAAGAAGAAAGTAACTAAAAGGAAGATGCTCCTTGGAAAGGTACTGCCCTGGGACCTTATGCCCATGCTAACTGCCAGGCTATATGCAGGCAATCATGATCTCCTCCTGGCTATGACTTCTTTTCTAACACCGGTCCCCTATTTAAATTCTGCTAACAGATACAGTCCCTTTCGGAATAATAATCCCACCCAGGCAAAGTCCAAATGTATCATCGGCAGAACACACAGAGGGACAAGGAGATGGGCCTAGACCTCTGTTCCATAGGCCCTCATCTTAGTAAGGAGGCCAAAGTCCTAGCTGATGTGCTAAATGCTTTCTGTCCTTTCAGATGATCCATCCTGTGTTGATTTCTTCAGCTGGTGTCATCTGGTCCCTCAGCATGGGGTCTGCAACCACAAATTTTACGGAAAACAGTGTTGTAGGTCATGCACAAAGAAGAGCTGATCCAGAGACCATGCAACCTCCTCAGACCAGGACCTTACCTGCCCATCTCCAGGTCTTTTGATCAAGACTACAAACCACACAGGAACTGCCACCGAGTTTGAAGAATGGATAGACAGCCACTAGCCTCCTTAGTCAACCCCTAGAAGCACATGGTACTCTAAAGCACGTGACAATGAGAAGTGATGACAAATCCAGCTTTAAAAAACAACAACAAAAAAAGCCTTCTATTTGCACTGTCATTTGAAAGATGAGATGCATCATACTGAGACATGTCAGGTTTTCATTTTGACCAAGTGAAAATCTTGTTGACTTTGGGGTGAGTCTCCTCTCCACACACATACCCTTGAACATCAAAGGAGTCAAGGGCAAAGACATCTATTTTTTAAAAGGCCCGTGAAGGCTTCAGGTCAAAGACTGACACTCAGAGCCATCAAATACATGAATGGAACTCTTTGCCCAGCAGTTGCTTGGAATTTAGAGTGTCAAAATCTGACAACAAACGGTGCTCAATGGGTGCTTGCTGCTGGACTGGCAAGCTGTATCTTATGTTTATTTTCTGTGTGTTGTTTATTGGGTTTCAAGTATAGTCTGCCTCTAGAGAGTCTCCAAGACTGAAATTAACAACTTGAAACATATTCCCAGTAGCATTCTGGAAGCAGGGTCACATGGGCTATTTAAGATCTTCGTGTAATTAAAATTCACACTTGAAGGGGAAAAAACTCAAATCTTGATGCCCTTCATGTGACATCAACCTCATAACTTTTGGTGCTTATTGACTGGGGATGAGGGAGGCTGGTGCCTGCTCTTTGGGAACAAGAACTGGTGACATGATCATTTTGGTAAAAATAGGCGCTAACTGGTAAAATAGCATGCTTGAAGGAGGGAAGCCTACCATTTATAATGCTCCAGACATATTATCAGAATGCTTAGAAAATTAAAGACTGCTTGTGGTTTTTGCCCACCAACTGACAAGTTTCAATTCACCCCAGGACTTGGTCAACAAGGAAAAAAATAAATAAAACACAGTGGCCAGAGAAAAATCCATCTGTCTTCTTGCTACATTAATAAATTACAACTCACCAAGCCCTTCCATGAATAACAGTACTTTACCATGTCTCAGATGAGATTTTTGGTCATCAGGAGCCAGCTGTTGATGGGCATTAACAAGCTTAAAATTGTTCTCAATTGGAAAAACACCATTCTGTTTGCCAAAGCCAGAGTAACTTATAAGACTGTGTTCCCCTGTAATTCTTTGAGAAGTGGTTCTACAGGGCATGTTTATATGATACTACTCCATCCCCCCAGTTTCTTGGATGAATGTACACTCATTTTTACTGCTTCTCAGAGTCTCGGTTCAAACAGGGGTTTGCCAGCTCAGCAGAACCAGCTAGACAGTGGTCTGTTAAATTTAACAGCATTCCTTGTTCCCATCCTAGTGGGAATCATGAGTCCTTGGATGCCATGGAAGTGAAAAGTTGCCATGGAAGTGAAAAGTAACAGCTTGGCCTTCTTGGCTTGGCCCTTCAGTAGCCATTTTGATATGAGGAGAGAGAAAAAAATAATACCACACTACCATTCCCTTGCTCTCTGAAAAGTGGGAAGTTATTTGTCTTTATATAATTATCATTTTATTATTTTATGGGAAAGAATTAATTTATTAATAACCTATTCTTATGTGTTCTCACTCGCTTCTTTGAGTAAGTGATATTCTGAGGGAAAATGTTGAATTAAAAAAAAACATGGATTATAGAGAAAAGTCAAAATATATGTGTAATATTTAATTATTTTATGTTTTATAATAAAGTATTCTGTTTCTTTATCTTTGAAACTTGTTAAATTCTTGAACAAGTTAGTGTGAAGTCAGTTATTTCCAAGTTGATTTAATTGCCTACCTGTTGATGGAGACCTCAGCATAACTTCACTAAAGGGGGCAGGGGAGGAGTTAAGAAGGATTTGTCACTTTTGTGCATAAGGAAATAAACTGTCCAATGATGATGCATTTGGGCCAACCAGATGACTCTGCAGGTAAAGGCACTTGATGCCAATGCTGATGACCTGAGTTCAATCCCTGAAATCCACACTGTGGAAGGAGAAAACTGACTCCTGAAAGTTGTCTTCTGACCTCCACACATGTGTCTTGATACATGCCTGTATGCAGCTCCGAAAACATAAATAATAAATGTGAAACAAAACTTGAGTATCTCAAGACATGATGCATCTTTAGATAATGTGTTCTGCTGTCCTGAGCAGATAAACATTGCATATGAAAATCACTAAAGATAAAGCCATTAAAGCTACTTCCTATTTGAAGGGAATTCTGGGGAAAATATTTGTGCCAAAACCAAGGGGAAGGGAGAGGAAGCTGAGTATTTACAGGATAGGAAAGGACAGGGGGGGGGGGAACTTATTCAAACAGCATGAACTTTCAGGCTTTCAAAACTTTACCATCAGACTCATGAAGACTTTCTGGATGATGCACATCCAAATAACCTGAATATCTAGTGTTTCCATTTATGATCACACACCAGGCATAGCTCTAAAATGTATTTAAGAGTATTATGGTATATGAATTATTAATGTGTAGGAAAATAAAAATTAGGGTTAAGAATGGAAAGTGAAAACAAGAAAAAGCTATCTTTGTATCTTTTGGTAATGAAGTATGATTAGAAGAGATTCATTAGGATTTAATGGCTGCCAGGTCCTATGTGCACTTTTATATACTTTATCTCATTTAAAGCACACAATGGCTCAATTAGGAAGATATTAGTCGCTTTGGGGGGAGGCATCTGGGATTCTGAGAGATCACATATTTAGCCCTGAGGCAAATGGCCAGCTTGTGATGGGGTCGAGACTTGAACCCAGACCCCTTGGGGCTCTTCTGTCACAATCCTAGGAGACATAAAGAAAGCAGGGAACATGCAGGCCTTGGAATCATGGTCCCTGAGATGCATGTAAATAAGACTTCAGTGATAAATGACTTTAATGATGATGAATTATGGGCAGAGCTGGGGATTTAAGATGTGGAATCAGGGTGGAAGGTAATAAATTCCTGCTAAGCCCCTCTTTTCATCAGAGGATACTTGAAGACCTGTTGCATAGTTATTGTATAGTTAAAGACTCTATTCCCTACTAACAGCTTCTCTCTGGGATGATAATGTTTCCTGGACAATAGCATCAGAGTGTCTGGAGCCTGCAGCTCCCCAGGATCATCAGGATGGAGAGCAGGCATGCAGGAATGCTCTTGGCGTGGGTTCTGTTCTAATCACAGGCAGAGATGATCTTACAACAGTGAGTATGATGCTAAGAGTGGTTTATAGCATTCAGATCAGAAAGGCCATTGCTGTAAATATCATAGGGGGAATGGTCATTTGCTTATGGGTTTCACGGCCTTATATTCCTTAGCTTGAAAAATACAGAAACATGGGCTGGAGAAGCTGCTCAGTGGTTAAGAACACATATGTTCTTGCTGAAGGTGAAAGCTCAGTTTCTAACCCATGTTGAGCAGCTCAAAACCACTCAAGACTCAAGCTCCAAGTGATCTGACACTCCTGCCTTTGCAGCTACCTGCACTTGAGTACTCACACATACATACACAACCGCACAATAAAAAAATAATACAATAATGCCAGGTATGGTGGTCCATGTCTTTAACCTAGCACTCAAGAGGCAGAAGGAGGTAGATCTCTGTCAGTTTGAGAACACCCTGGTTTACATAGTAAGCTCCAGGCTGGCCAGGATTATAAGTGAAACTGTGGCTTAATAATAATAATAATAATAATAATAATAATAATAATAATAATAATAATAATATCTTTTAAAAACACAAGAAGGGATCCTGTGTTCTGTCTGCTTTACCTTATCTTACCCTAAGATCTTAATTCTCCAAAAACTTTGGTGGTCTACATTGGTATTAATGCTTCTCTTTGCTGTGACCAAATGCCTGCCAATAAGCAGATTACAAGAGGAAAAGATTATTTCTCCTTACAGCTGGAGGGTCACGGTCTACCATGGTCGAGAAAGCATGGTAGCAAGCAGCTCCATGGTGATGGAAGCCTATGGTGGGTGTTTCTCGAATCTCCTGAGGTTAGCAGAGATGAGACAGGAAGCTGAACCAGGTCATCCACCTCAAGGCCCTTACTAGTGACTCACTTCCTCCAGTGAGGCTCCCCCATTCTAACAGTTCCACAGTCTCTCAGAACAGGGACCCCAGCTGGAGACCAGCTGTTCATACATGAGCCTGGGGGTAACAGTTCATATCCAAACCACAGCAACCTTTATGCTCCTTTTCAATCTGTCACCCTTGTCTGCACGTGATGGAGACTTCTACAGAGGCTCTGGACATGTTACTATCAAGCCTGTCACCCATAAAGCATCATCCTGGGTACCTCATAAAAGCATTATATATCACTTTACATTTTTTTCTATTTTTAAAGAGATTTTTCTATTTGTTTTACATATCAACCACGGATTCCCCTGTCCTCCCTCCTCCCACCCCCCAGCCTTCCCCCGCAACCATTCCCATCTCCTCCATGGCAAAGTCTCCCCTGGGGAGTCTGCAGAGCCTGGTACATTCAGTTGAGGCAATTCCAAACCCCTCCTCCCTGCACCAAGGCTGAGAAAAGTGTCTCAGCATAGGCACTAGGTTTCAAAAAGCTGTCTCATGCACTAAGGACAGGTCTCAGTCTCACTGCCTGGGGCCCCCCTAAACAGTTCAAGCTAAACAACTGTCTCACTTATCCAGAGGGCCTAGTCCAGTACCATGTAGATTCCTCAGCTATTGGTTCACAGTTCATGTGTTTCCACTATTTTGGCTAGTTGTTTCTGTAATTTTTCCAATCATAGTCTCGATATCTCTTGCTCATAGAATCCCTCCTCTCTCTAGTCAATTGGACTCCTGGAGCTCTGCCTGGGACTTGGCTATGGATCTCTGCATCTGCTTCCATCAGTAACTGGATGAGGGTTCTATCATGACAGTTAGGGTGTTCGGCCATCCGGTCACCAGAGTAGATCAGCTCAGGCACCCTCTCGACCATTGACAGTAGTCTATAGTGGAGTCATCTTTGTGGATTCCTGGGGACCTCTCTAGCACTCTGCTTCTTCTTATTCCCATGGTGTCTTCATTTATCCTGGTATCTCTTTCCTTGTTCTCCCACTCTGTTCCTGATCTAGCTAGGACCTCCTACTCTTCTAAGCTCTCTTTCCACTGACCCTTGCCCTCCATTAACCCCCCCCACACACACACACCCCAGTTTGCTCATGTAGATCTCATCCATTTCTCCATCACTGGGCTATCCCTGTGTCTTTCCTAGAGTCCTCTTTACTAGCTAGCCTCCCTAGAGCTGTGAGTTGTAGTCTGGTTATCATTTGTAATAGCCAGAACCTGGAAACAACCTAAATGCCCTTCAACTAAAGAATGGATAAAGAAAATGTGGTACATATACACAATGGAGTACTACTCAGCAGAGAAAAATAATGACATCATGAGGTTTGCAGGCAAATGGATGGAATTAGAAAATATCATCCTGAGTGAAGCAAGCTAGATGAAGAAAGACGAACATGGTATGTACTCACTCATAAGGGGATACCAGATGTAAATCACTTTATATTTTATCCATTTATATAAAAATTATTTTCTCAGAAGAAAGTGTTTTAAAAGGCAAATATTTTATAACTCCTCCAAATGGAAAATCTATATTACATGGTATAAATAGATACAGCTAGTCAACAACAACAACAACAAAAATAACCTTGGTGGCTAGGGAGACGGCTCAGTGGTTGAAAGCACTTGATGTTCTGTAGTGGGTAGCTGTTCCAGCTTTGACCTTGAAACACTGTCCCTAGAGTGACAGGAGGTAACTGCCACACCTGCCTATGACCTGCCCCTGGGGCATGGCTGAGAGGGAGCCCCTTAAGACTCGAGGTGCATACATGCTGGGCTCTTCTGGATACCTCGTGGTCCTGGAAGCTGGATGAGAGACCAAGCCAGAGTTCTCTGCTGGATGGAACCTCATCTCTCCTGGATCCTGTAACCAACCCCTACTGGCTGTAAGTTACCCCAGAAATAAACTTCTCTTGATTACCAGATGAATTATGTGGAACTGCCTCATTAATTACAGTTGCAATGTTCTTCTAGAGAGCCTGAGTTCCGTTCCCAGCATCTACATCTATTGGCTCATAATCTAACTTCAGCTCCAGGGGATCTGATGCCTCTTCTAGCCTCTATAGGGCACCTGAACACATTACACACACACACACACACACACACACACACACACACACACACA